ATGCACCGAGAATATAAACAAGGGTAGAATGCATTTTCTCCGAAATTGCTCTGGGTACGATGGTTCCACATATTTATTTGATTTTCTTCAACCTTGAAACATGAAATATCATACATTTATTTACATAATTGTTACGCACAAACGTTATATATTGATGAATTGGAAGGGTCGCGGTACTGACGGCGAACACATTGTATTGAAGTATCATTCTTATTTTGCAAATCTGTGAGGTATCACCCTCAATACATACATCATCAAACGTTCAGGTTGTGGATGGATACAGGAAAATGAACTGTAGATTATGAATTTGAGCGAGCCTCTTACAGACTCGTACAACCCCATCAACTTACTCAAGACATTTGAAGCGACCGCATATAAGATCCGTACGGATAATTTACAACTTGCTTTGTTATAGTCACAACAATGTTTCAATACTAGTATGAAAAAAGGCATAAACTTAGTCATAGTACTAGCCTGACATGCAGGCGTGAGTGGCGTCCTCGCCGTCCGAACGGCATCAGACCCAGGGTTTGGAACACCGCGGAGGGCGCAACACACGCGACCTAGTCAGACTACCATAGTGCGTACCTAAACAAAAAATTAATTAGTCTTAAATAAAGTTGTGCCAGGGGAAGTCACTCGCTATATATTACAATGTTCACACCAGGAGCTTTTCTAGGGAGTTTCTTAACTCCCCGTACGAATCTTGTTTGTACCCGGTGTAAATTAGGCTAATATTTATAAACAAACATTAGAACATTAGTTATTAAGTGTAGGTACGATGTGAATAATGCCCTCATTTCGGGATATGTGATGTTTCACATATTAACAAAGTGGGAATGTAGCTTTAAAGACTGCTGTGAACTTTACGTGCATACTATACTGCCCACGTGATTTTGCCTGAATCCTGAAATACAATGTAATAGGTGATTTTCCGTACAATTGCGAGATCTCGCGAGATGCATGAAAGACGCGCGTCGAACGTCTGCCGCAAAAATCGAACGATTTGATTTTGAACTAGAATTTCTTTATTTCGTAGCTTACATTGACCACAGGGAGCCCAGGAACTATAATCAACTGTAGTACGCAGT